GGATGGGATATGGGGTGCCTTAAAATGCCAAAAGATGACCTTGGGGGGGTCTTCAAGTTTCTCAAGTTTCGTTTTATACAAAGTCCTATATTGTGTAATACTAAAACAATTTCATCAGCATTTTGACAAAAAGATTTAATGCTCAAACAGTAGGTGCATCAACACAACATCTATTATTTCATCGACATTTTAACAAATGATTACATGCATAAAGTCATCTTATGCAATCTCACTATCCGAATCATTATTTGTAGATGAGGTTGATGTGGACTCACTGTCTATGTCACTGTCAAGTTTTTGCTATTATAGCATGTACTGCTCATATAAAAAGCAGTAAGCGTTGGCTGATCATCTTCTTTCTTCCTTGAAGCGGTCCTGTCGGCCTCTAACCTTTCGATGGCTTGTCTTATGTCAGTTATAACACAATCACTGATATATCCTTGCTCTAAAAGCTGTTTGAGAGGCTCTAGGTGAAATCTCTTTCTCAGTTTAGTGTGAAGTGCTTCTCTGTAGAAATATCTAACTGCCCATGGACTTGACAAGTATGGTAAAAACAAACTAAAACCCATCAGCTGCCATGTACTGCGAAATAATGAGCTTAATTCTATAAAAGAGAAACAGTTTTAAATGGCAGACTCCATGTCCTATGCTGACCAGCAAGATGACGAATCACTCTCAGATGACGATGATGTAGTTGGCACATTCGGAAGTGACAGTGAGTAAGAACGGTAAAGTAAAGAAAATGTTATTTGTTATTATCATTTGGGTATTATGTAAGAAAGGGGGCCCTTAAATCTTTTAACAGGATTGAAGGGGGAGGGGGTACCTAAAAACATGGGTGCTAGTGAGTTGGGGTCTGGAAATAATTTGGGATAAAAAACAATTTCTCCTCCACCCCCCTCCCCCCCCCCCTTCAACTTAAATTATGACTGGTCCCTAAGATGGCTGCCCGTTTTAAATCAGGTGTTACGTTGAAGGGGAAAAGGGGAGTTGAGACTACTGTTGCTGTCGAAGGATCTTGTGTGATTGGTAACTCTGGAACAGCGCTGTTTATCTCCTTCGGTCGTGTTCTTGAACTTAATTTTTCTTTAAAAGCAAGGTATTTGTTTTACAATTGAAGGTACCGCTTAGCTTTTTCATCGTCTCGAAGATCGTTTCGAGAGAGCACGTTATCCATCGCTCTGTATCTCTTATATAGCTGGAAGCAGCGGGACAGGTGAAAGATTTTACTGCTTTAGATATTTCAGATGCACTTGAGGAATATTGTCATGAAACCCTGCTTGGTTAAAGCCTTCTTGACTGGGTAGGACGTTTGTTCGTAGTCGACAATTATCTTGTGTGGTGGTTATCAGATCAATTAGTTGGCAAGTAAAGGGTCTTTTCACAGCCTCTTCGCACTGGTTTAAAAAGAAATCAATTTGACCGGGATACATTTGCTTGGTGAGAGTCAAAATTTGCAATTTGTCTCGAGGGTTCTTGAATAGCACCAAGTGGTGACTATTTAAGCTTGTGCTGCGGCTACCTTTCCCTTGATGAAAGAGATTCTGTACGATGTAAATCACACTTAGATTGTGAAGATGAGAACCACGAGTAAAGAGGATCACAATCCACTTGTCTTTACTGGCGTCAATCATTCGATCGTCAAACTCGATTAAGGTGTTTCGATACAGTCTTTCAGTAGCCGTACCGATATTTTTGAATCGCCTTAAAAGTGGTTTTTTCCTTGTCCGATTGCTATAAAATTTTCACCAGTAATTGGCTATGGATTGAAATTTGTCAAAATGTAGTTTTAAGTAACAATCGATATTACTATGACAACAATAAACAAAAAATTTTGAAATTGATAAAAGCCAATTTTGTGTGATCTAGACCTGCTACTGCAGCACTAGGAACTTAAAGTTTGGTGTTTAGCAAACAATCTCCGTAAGAAGTAAAAAATTTTGTATGTTTGAATTCGACTAAAACGAAAATATATTTCAAACCTTAAATTTTCAACAGCCGTTATAGATTATTTAATAAAAACGTTAATCATGACTCAAATTATTCTTAAGTAGAGTCAGAGTGCTGCTTAAATATCATATTTCGATGCTAGGAAATGTTAGTGTATTTTCGTTCGTGCGATTTTGAAAACTAACAGGTTTTCTCACCACCTGTCTAAGTGCAACGTCATTCAAAATTTGGACTTTTAGCGCTTTTTTGTATGTCTCTGAAACTATTCGAACCGATCTTTTCTAAAATCTCTGCACATAATCTACATAATGTATTTAATAATGTCGCAAACTTTCATTGAGATTGATTCACTGCAACATCTTAAATTTCAAGACAAACCTATCCTACGAACCTGTCAAAATTCTGCGTTGCAGCATTCATTGTTTTGACGTTATGCTAATTTTTCCAAAAAAATTTTCAATATACATACCTCCATGACATTTTAGTTTGAATTTATCGAATCTTTTGAATGTAAAACATTGAAAATACTCCCACTGAAATGTACTAGTCATGGATGTATGTATTGTCCGAATTAATTTGGAAAAATTAATTAGTATAACAGAAACAAAGAAACGAATCCTTTCACAAGAGGGTGGTGGTTTTATTCAAGACCTATTGGTCCCTGCTGTAACAAGCTGGTCAAGATGAAGAGAAAGATAGAGTTGGTTGATGAAGAGGACGAGACTGAAAGATGTGCTGATGAAAGCGAGGATGAAGAACCAACGATTAAGGATGTCTTGAGTAATCTTTCCCGGTGGCTAAAGAGCGTGTTTCTGATTTGTTGTCATTAGCCTGGCTGTTTAAGATATTCTATTCTGGACTCCCCGCGGACAGTAACTTCGAAATTAACGCATAATTCCGGTAAAATAGCTAGTTCTAGTTAACTAGTACTACTACCACAAAACGATGACGTAACCAAACCTCGTGCGCTGAATACGTTCCTTGATGGAATTGCGGTGTTAGGAGTCGGTGTGGGCTTAATCAAGCACCAAAAGGTCCTAAGTGATTTGATAGAGAAAGAAAAAGGCCACCGAAATACCGAAAATACTTGTCCGAGAACGAGAACAATGTAAAAAGTTCGTCGGATATAGAGGAAGAGGGGGACGAGATAGCCTTTGAGAATGGCAGTGAAACTGAAGACACCCAAGAGAGCGACAACGACTCTGAAAACGACAGTCAGGAAACAGAAAGTAGTAGCCCTGAAACGTCCACCACCTTTCACTCTGAAAATCTCTGTGAACATTGTTAGAATTCTAATGTATACGGGTCATTGATCATGAAATGTCCTATATCCAAATTACATCAAAGAGGGCTTTCTTCAGTGTCACGATTATGGCGCAAGTGCATGATTTATTTTTAAAAAATAATACTGTTTACTAGTTTACTGTGTGAAACTCGAATTCCCGCACGTACTGGAACCACGAAAGGGCGAAAAATTCAACACTTTGACGTGCCAGCAGCTGTGTGACTGTACATCTTAATAGTAGATTGGCTATTCACAGAAATAATGGTAACTTAAACGTATGAAGACTTGTTTAACTTTGTAACCAATGACTTGCATGTCAAATTCACCCCACGTATATCAAGGTAATTCAAGACAGTCTTGGATCCTGGATTGAACGCCGTGAATTCCAGGAATCCAGGACTAATGGCTTCTGGCTTAGTTGTCAGGGGAATGTGGATTTCGGATTTCAATCGTTATGGGGGTTTCGGATTACCTGAACTGAATTCCGGATTCCAAAGTCAAGGATTCCGAATCCAGACAGCCTTAAATAATAATAATAATAATAATAATAATAATAATAATAATAATAAAACCTTTAGTATTTATATACAATTCATTTCGATTAAAATAACCATCTAATTCCGATTAAAAAATTCATTTCAATTAAAAAAAAAAGTTATTCGAATACTAATGACAACAATGCTAACTATTAAAATCCTATTTACAATTAATTCGCTTAAAAAAGAAGAGGAAGAAGAAAAACAACAACCTATTCATTCAAAACACTATTGACAATTCCTGTCGATTTAAAAAGCATTTAATTTAGCTTAGAAAGAGTTAATTTAACTAAGAAAAATTACATAAATTTAAAAATCAAGTATTACTAAGAAAAAAAAAACTATTAAAAATGTAGGCCAATAATAATAATAATAATAATAATAATAATAGAATTTATATAGCGCTTATACATCGCTGTTCTAAGCGCTTTACAATGTAAAAAAGGACATAAGAATATCATTAATCACAAGCTTACATATAACCCTACTGTACATATTGGGAAATTTATAGCATACACATCCTAAAAAGGAAAGAAAACAAAAACAAATATGATGAAACTACATGTCATATACCTTTTAAAAAGAAACGTTTTCAACTTAGATTTAAAAAGATTAACAACAGAACAAGTTCGAACAAGCTTAATTAAATGTAGCCTGCGAAAACATCCGTTTCTCCTCGCTCTTCGCCGCCGGGGACGTTTCGCGCGGAGGAACGTCTGCGACTCAGCGGCAGAAATTCCATACTGATGACGCAAATCAATGTTTACATAGTACATCCGGTGGTCATGGGTTTCCAAAAACAAATTTGTCCAATTTTACGTGTTTTCTGGTCGATTTTGGTAACGTGTTGTGTTCATCTGCCAAAGAGCTCCAGCAAAACTCAAACGCTTCTTCTAGAGAAGCGTATATTCCACAAATATTGACTGTTTTGCTCGAGATTCTTCGCGTTTACATTTGACCTTTGAGGCCTTTTGTCTTTTGTCTGTCATTCGTAAACAATAACTAAAACAATGTAACTACTCCGTTGACCAATTAGCGCTTCTGACCGGATTCCGGACAGATTTTACGTCATCAGTATAGAATTTCTGTCGCTGAGTCGCAGACGTTCCTCCTCGCGAAACGTCCCCAGCGGCGAAGAGCGCGGAGAAACGGATGTTTTCGCAGGCTAATTTAAATTGGGCGAAAGAGCATTTCATCTGCTCCATTTTTGCAGATTGTATCCTTTACAGCGAGTGATCTATCCCCTCGACGAGTGGGAAATTCTTCGCGAGCAAATAGAATATGAAGAGGAACTGGGCCGAGGAGCGTTTGGCGTGGTTTACAAAGCAATCCTTAGAGAAAGGATTGGGATAGAGGTGTTTAACACGGAGGTTTCAAAACGGACTTTGCTATCCAGCAAGAAGGAGCCTAAGGTGGTCGCTGTAAAGGTCTTACATGGTAAGATAAGTAATGGTAATAGGACTAAGTGGGGTCCAATTCGGTCTAGTCATACGAGTGGTAAAACAAAATCGGATGACCGTGTGGCGAGAGTCTTATTTGTTTCATCACGGTGATTACAGATCGACTTGGACGACACGAAGTTGTTACCAACCAATCATAACTACAACAAAATTTGTGATCTTTTACTGCGCGTTTCACAAACATGCGAACTCTTTAGTTCATAAGCCGCCTTCATAATTACGTTTTTTGCTGCCGTCAATCATAATTACGATCACAAGCAACGAACCTTGAAGCACAGAAACACACAAAATGGATCGAAATCCACCAATCACAAATCACAAATCATGACCTTTTGAACCCGTTAAAGTAAAGTTTTGTTTCCTAAGAGGTCCGTTAAGGTGACTGACGGTAGCGAAAAACGCAATCGTCAGTTGGCTTTTGAACTTCACAATTATTAATTCGCATGTTTGTGAAAAGCGCAGTGAGCCTTTTTAAAATTAGAACACAAGATATTCTGACAGTTTTTTGCTAGCAATGAAAATGCGTCCTATCCAATTACTTATAGGGCGCTTTCCATTCAACCCAAAATTCCGGAAATGTCGGTTGGTTCCGACCAGAATATTCGGGACCAGCTTTGAAGGTGATCCACTTTGACCGGTCTGGTCATTTCGGTCGGAATTTTCCACTTTTTCCAGGAATTTTCCAGTGGGACGAATCGACGAAACGTGTTCCATTTACTACCGAACCGGAAATTCCGGAAATTTTGACTAAACGGGAAAGCGCCCTTTGTCAAAATTGTTGTCCCCAGTGCCGCTCTTTTGTATCCTGCTTACAGGAACAATAACCAAACACACGGTGGCTTATATCGGGTCTGTACAACCGGAATGTACCGTTCCAATGGGCACGTAGACTACGAGTAGTCCCCCATTTTTCCTCAGGGATAGTAGAGCCTGCGAAACGCGAGCGCGCGTGAAAATCACCCCACGCGAGAAAAGGCAACACGCGGCGGGGAGAGAGAAATATGAGGGACTACAGACAAAGCCCAAGCTTTTGACCCTTCACGGCCGACTGATTTTGGAGTGTGAAGTTCGTATCCCCTTCCAAATCAATTAAGCACATCCAATGGGATTCCTTCCCTTATTGAGCTGTCATTGCTCTTGTCATCGGTAAACTGCAGGGGATATTTATTGCAAGCAAAAGAAAACCCAGATACTAATTTTCTTCACGGCTGTTTCGCGTGAAGAACTTGATAGTGTAGGCAACACACGACTTTTACTCATGCCAAAATGCTGCTTGTTCCAATAAATTTTTTTTCTCTGACGGGTAGATTATGCTCTGGAGGAAAACGTTTTGACTGAGCAAATGTGATTTTTGCCGCTTATTTCATACTGAGAGGTCGTGACACGCATATTAATTTTCTGCGGTTATTGTTTATGGTCCGCATGATTTGCCCTCTGATGCAAGAGAATTTTCTTTGATCTCCTTTGAAAAGTAAAGCTCTTCAATGCGGCTCAATAAGGGTTTTGGGTCGTGTAATTTCTCCGGCGATTGCCTCCTGGATCTGAATAATTTTAAGCCATTTTCTTTTTGGCCGTGAATGTGACGGTTTCCTGCAATGTTTTGTCACGGTGAGCCCAGCTCGTTAGGATATCCAAATCTCGAAGAATGGATTTCAGCTTAAACTAAAACTACGTTAACTGTGGAGAACTGCGATGTGACTCAGTCATGACTGCTCATGAATTTTAACTGCCGCTTGCTTTTCTGGAGATAATGTGAGTCTTTGGACTGGAGCACGTAGTTCCTCCCTTGGTGAAAACTTTTGAATTAACTTAACAGCCTTGAGACTGCTCTGTTATTCTCTCGGTATTCTCACTTTGTGATCAGGCAAGACCATGGTTTCGGTTCTCCACGCGAACCTCATCAGTTGCCGGGTTGGCTTTTTGCTTAGTTGCTTCTACAAGAGCAACTCTACTTATTTGTTCTGTGCTGTTATTTGTTCTGCTCTATTTATTTGTTCTGTAAATTGTGATTATGTCGAGTGTTGATAGCGGCTGGCGCGTTTTTGACAGATGTTGACAGATTTCCATGGAAGAGCTAATCAGAGTTTTGCGTTGTGAGAGCAACGCATTAGTTCAAAAGCTTTGGCTTTGTCTGTAGTCCCTCATTTTTCTCTCTCCCCGCCGCGTGTCGCCTTTTCTCGCGTGGGGTGATTTTCACGCGCGCTCGCGTTTCGCTCGCTCTACTGTCCTTGAGGAAAAATGGGGGACTACTCGTAGTCTAATGGGCACGTGGAATTTCCGAAATTTCAAACCATGTTTTTTTTAATAGCATGACGTCCCTAAAATTTAAACTAAAAAACTATCGATCCTACCGAGATTTTTTTTTCACGATGCATTAGAGCAGCTAAAAACTAATTTTCAGACAAGTTTTCGCTTCAAAAGGGTTCTTGGTTTTGTTATAGAGTACGCTTGATTTTCTAAGCTTTTTGCATGCGTGACGCGGCATTTACATGACGGCCAAGACAGCTGTCATGCAGGTTAAAAAAATGACTTATTTCAGGACATTTTGCTATCTAAACAGTTCATGTATTAGAAAAAGTATTACTTTAATGTTTATGAGTTTCTCGAAGGATAATTCACACTTTTGTTGCAAAACTCGGCAACAGATGTTACTGTGGGTTTCCGTCCGCCATGTTGGAGCTCACCAGCATGGCTTCTCCATACAAGGTTCTATAAGTTTGGGTAAAACATTTCTTCGGATATCTTGTATACGAAATATTCCTCTGACCTGAATCTTGGCGAGGGTCTTTGTATATGTACCTCCTTTCATTTTCCAGATTCTGGACTTTATCAGGCTATCGAACGGTTTTGATTTTTATTTTGATCTATTTTGAATGGCCTGACACTGAAAACCAGCAATTAATGCTTAAATGAAGACGGCAGATACCCAGTCTGATTTGAGCATTTTAATATTTAGTGGAGGAGGCGGCTCAGTTAGCTAATGTAATTGTTTTACTATCTATTAAAACATCTTCATTTCCAATAAGACGTGTATATATATGTTTGCCTCGACTTATACATCTGTTTATACTGACAGACATTCTTCGAAAAGAATTGGTTATCCGTTGAGAAGCATTTTTGTCGTTAAGGCAGTAGTTGGCATAACATGTGAAATCTAGGCCACTTTCGATATTCTTAAAATTCAGCATGATAGCGAGTCTCAGAGGACACAAACAAAGAAAAAGGAATAAACCATGATTATTCATGTTTTTTCATCAGAATTTTAATATTAATATCGAAAGTGGCCTATTTCTCCAGGGCCCAGTTGTTCGAAGGCCGATTAGCGCTTAATCCGGGGTTAACTTTAACCCGGGTTTCTTTTTCTTGTGTTCAAAAGCATTTTCTCGGATAGTTTTCTCGGTTATTTTTAGAGATTCCAATCATCAACTTGTAGACAAAAAGAATTAAAACTGAAATGCTTTTTAAGCTTTCAAATCTGTATTCAAATCTTGCACTAACCCTGGGTTATCTTAACACAGCTTTGAACAACTCGGCCCAGATCTGCTAAGTTAAAAAACCGTTTAAAACTACAATAAAAATTACGTCCAAGGCTTTCCTAAATAAAACTTTAGGATTAATGTTTCTTAAACTTAATGGCAGTGAATCGAGGCACCTAAAAAGTTAAAACTACGGCGAGCAAACTCCAGTTTCAACTTGGGCAGTTTTGCTGCCTTCCCATTTTTTCTAGTGTTTAAAGACTTATGGTGAAATCGTTAAAAATAGTTCCTAAATGGGAAACATGCAGTTCCATTCTGAGGAGGCAGTCAAATACAAAACAGTAAAACGTATTTGTCAATTATTAAAAATCGAAGATCGCAGTTCTTCCGACTGCATTTCGGAGAAATGATTTCGAGGCTCCGTTGTTGGTTTTGTGTAAAATGCCATTTCCCCATAAGTATTCTCTTCAGGCTAGGTAAAGCCGGGTGGCTGTGTAGCAAAAGGCAGACGTTTTTTTACGTGCGGATTTGTTTCTCTGTTGTAGGGCTGTTTTCTTGTCGGCAAATTTTACCTCAGTGGGGTACTTTCTAAAAATAGTGGCAGGGTAGCCTCTTCCTAATATAACAGGCTAAAATGAAAACGAAATATGAGAAAAATTGTGGGGAACGGTGAGGAATATTTTTGGGGAAAAAGAGAACATGGAGCACAATTTCTGGGAACTTGGGAACTCTGTAAACGTGAATTTCGGGGAACATCTTAATTTAGTTTTGAGGAAGAAGGGAACAACTGTAAATTTTCATAGGGAACAAGGGAACATGCACCAAGCCCCCCCTCGGGAGGCCCTCTACATCCGCCAGGATACAAGAGAACTACTCAATTTCTTAAAGACTAATCCTCATTTCTAAGTCAAAGCCCAGGACAAAGTTGTTACTGATTACGGTTAAACGAGCTATAGCCACGCAGTTTCTAAACAATCTTATCATAATTTACGTTCTTGGCTTGGAAAAGGTTCATTTAATCACAAGATGAACAATCATGACTCCACCCTTCACATTGCTTCAACTGTGCATGGCTATATTAAGTCACAACTAGACGTCGAATTAAACAACAAGGACCGCTAACGTATTCGAAAATGTTTAGATAATCCTAGTGCGGAGCAGAAAGAAGAGTTCAAGTTTGAGATCGAGCAGATGAAGCTGTTGGGATCACATCCGAATGTCGTTTCCTTGGTTGGATGCTGCACGCTTCAGGATGAGAAGTTTCTAGTGATCGAGTATGTTCCGTTTGGAGACCTGCTAACGTGGCTACGTTCTGAAAGGAAAAGGGTAAGGAAATGAGAAAAAAAATCAATTTACTTTAAACAAGCGACACTGAGAAGAAAGCAAAACGAATGAGTAAATAAATCAAGTGTTAAATGTAGATTACCACATTTCGGCACTTAAACAAAGAAAAAAACAACAAAAAACACACATACATAGTTGCATACAAAACGTAATTTCCAAAAATGGGTTTCTAGCTTCAAGTTTTCGTTTCTGAACGTTTTGGAGCTATAATGAGGGACATTCTTGAAGTGTTGAGATACTTTTATAAAATGGCTCTTTTTTGCATAGCGGACAATCTCCAGTACCCCAACCCTCCCCCAATGCTGTATTTTAAACCCTCAAATCTTTCTCCAACTTTGGACAACAGTACATACACGCATACATTTATTCATGACACATCCCATCTGGGGCTCTTCAGTGATCAAATAGGATTACAAACTTATAAATTTACAGGATTACTTATAAATCGAGCGACGATCTACATTTATAAGATGAATGAATGAATGAAACAGTTGAAAAAAACGCCCGTTTTAGACTAGTGTGTCAGATACTTTTGTCACCGATTGTACTAAGGTCAATAAGCTTGGACACATTTATGTACATTTGTTGCCATGAGAACAGGATTTGACGCTACAGTTAGCATGAGTGCAGGTAATTGAAAACCACAACAGCGAGATGTACTCATTTTTTGATGTGGGTGAATTTTTAGGTCTACATTCACCAAGCCTCCAAGAAAATATACGACAACAAAGAAGATTTGAAAGATGAAGGGGACGCCAAACATCAGGTAGGTGTAAAATAATCACATGCTTTGATACCACCAAGAAACATGTCTAAAAGGACAACAAAACGGTTTTTGCGAACAGATGTGGGCAGTTTTTTGAGTGCCATATAAAGATCATTTTCGCATGCATCTCTACCCCACAGCACCCTTTCTTTTGGCCTTTCTTTCAATCATCTATTTATGCACATATTGTAAGAGCATAAAAGCCAACGATTATGGCATGACATTTTCGAGTGCAACATTAGCCAGGCTATCATCAAACCTCAAATAACATTCTATCCAACAATGCTTTGGATCGAAACCCACAAACAACCACGGTGGTAAAAATAGTCCGACTCAGTAAATCGACACTATCGCCTGATGAACTGACCTGTAGTGTGCGGTTGAAACGTCGCGATCAAAATCAAAGTGACAATCGTGACATACACGATAAACTAAACCCTTTACGCACATTATTCACGATGATTAATATCTGTCATGACATATTCCTTTCGTTCAGTTTCTTAATATTTGACTATATCTTTTTTCATTCTGTACAATTTAGGATTTTCACTTGTTCTCACTACTTTGTGACTCTCAAGTCTGAGACTTTCAAAGGTTTACTAGACAATAAGGGCCAAATATTTAAACGAAGTCTAACTTAAGCCACGGTGAAACTGCAATAAGCGTAGTCTCTTGGCCTTTAATAACAACACCACAAACCAAATTCGAATGAAGATTTATTGTAACCGACGAGCTTAATTGGTACTTGAAATAAAATGCGTGGCACAAAGAGTGCGGATACAAACGGCGTGGGTTGAAACCCAAAACAGTAAAAGAGTAAAAAGGTATACAATTTGCGACTAAGGAAAATCAGAATGTATAAATAACAAAAACCGCAAAAACGAGGACTGTGAAGTACCCTTACATTATTTCGGCCAGGGAAAACTGCTGTGAAGCGGACTGCGAATAACGCGAAGAGACCTGCAAGAACTGTAAACAGAACTGCGCTTAGCGCGGACCAAAATAAACTGCATAAACTGTACTGAAAAACTACGACATGAAAAATACGCTACAACATGCGGAAAATAAAACTATACAAAACTTAGAAAGTCGCTAATGAAGATGAAACAACAAAGAAACGGTAACGAGGGGGCAAAAAAATGACAGAAAGGAGTAAAAACGAAAATTTACGAAAAATAAACTAAACAAAAGGACGAAAAGAAGTATAAACTAATTAGCGTACGCAACGGAAAAACAAACGACGCTATTTAAGGGAATAATAGAAAAAATGTTTCACTTGGATCTTACACGCGGTTTAACGAATCTTTGAACCTCCCTGATCTTCTCTTTGGTGGGTTGATTTAAGAAGATAAATGCTTGTCTAGTCTTCTCTATATTCTTTAGGCTTTCATAGAACTGGTTACAATAACTGATGGTTAGATAACATGGTTGGGCAAATTGAAAATGACTTAGAACGAGGTTTTTTTTTAACAATGGCTAAACTACGTTTAAATATTTGGCCCAAATTGTATTGGGTTTCACAAACTTAACTATGTAACTTGCCTTAACGTACTTTTGAGCATCTATGGGAAAAAGCGCTATTTTAATAGCGCTTTTTCCCATAATAATGATAACAATAATCGTCATAATTTAAAAATTATGACGATTATTGTTATCATTATCGGCATTAGTATTTTTATTGTTGTTATTATTGTTATTTTTTATTAATTTAAATTATTTATTTTTCCAAGCATACTCGGTGGTTGTAAAATAAAAAAACATTAAAATCTTCTTAATGATATATGAAATAAATCATATATGAACTGCGGAAATGAAATGAAGATGAAGAAATGATCGTCGCAGTGAACGCAATTTGTGCAATTGCGTAAAGAAGCCTGAAAAAAAATCAGGACTTCAACGGGGTTTGAACCCGTGACCTCGCAATACCGGTGCGATGCTCTATTAACTGAGCTATGAAGCCACTGACGTTGGGAGCAGGTCAATTGTGGGTTCATATGTTCCCGTGAGAGAAATGAGTGTTAATGATATATGAAATAAATCATATATGAACTGCGGAAATGAAATGAAGATGAAGAAATGATCGTCGCAGTGAACGAAATTTATGCAATTGCGTAAAGAAGCCTGAAAAAAAAGGACTTCAACGAGGTTTGAACCCGTGACCTCGCGATACCGGTGCGATGCTCTACCAACTGAGCTATGAAGCCACTGACGTTGGGAGCAGGTCAATTGTGGGTTCATATGTTCCCGTAAAAGAACGTCAGTGGCTTCATAGCTCAGTTGGTGGAGCGTGGCACCGATATCGCGAGGTCACGGGTTCAAACCCCGTTGAAGTCCTGAATTTTTTTCAGGCTTCTTTACGCAATTGCATAAATTGCGTTCACTGCGACGATCATTTCTTCATCTTCATTACAATCTTTGTTTATTTCTCTCTAAGGTGACAGGTAAAGAAGACAAAAAACAAATTAGCCTGGAATTCATATCGATAATACAAGATGACGATGAGGATAAGATGGTGTGTGAGAATGTAAAGAAAGAGCAGGTACAAGCAAACATGGAAATGATTCCATTGTTACAAGATAACAATGAGGTCGTCAAAGAGGGCGTGGTGTTGAATTCTCCGAATCTCTCTGACGTAAGAAGGAAATACCAAAATCGTTAACATTTTTTAACCTTTTTCTTTTTTATTTATTTTATTAACAATTTGTTATATCACGCACACAAAAAGCAAAAAAACAAAAAACAATACAAAACAAATAAATAAATGAATGAAAGAAAGAAAGAAAAAAATAAGGAAAAGGGAAAGAAATAGTGCATAGTGTAAAAAAGTAATAAAAAGCGGAGTAACATGCTTTAAGCATTGTTGACTAACTACCTACATTTAACATAGACTGGAAAAGAATCGGTAAACACTGAAGGAATAAGCTGCAGGTGTCCGGGGTAAGAGAGCTAGTTTTTTGATAGGAAGAAAAAGGTATTTAAAGTAGAATTTCATAAGGAAGTCCCACTTTTTTTAGTAGATCAACGGTTTAATTCATAAGAAAGGTTTAGTTGTTTAAAAAAAACCTCCTCTAGATTTAGTTCCGATTTCCTCTTTTTACAGATACATATATATTATCTTGCTAAAAAAAAAGTGAAATTAATTTGATGTTGACTTTTTGAAGAGTCAGGCTTAAGACCAGCTGCTACTTACACGTTCGGTTTTATACCGAGTAGGCAAAACCTCGAAAGAATGAGTCGTGATATTAACTCTCCAAAAACGCAGCTGAAAAAAGGAGACTCTAATGGCAAAACCAGAAAAGATACACAAGCCCTTCTTAACCATCTCTACAGAAACAGCAATTAGAATTATTTTCTAGTCCAATTTTCGTCCGAACGTCATTAGTGGCAATCCTTCTATATGGAGAAACTTAAACTGGAACTCCATCACTCGTGTTCTTTTGGTGTATTAGGATGTTATGGTGACTGCCTTAGACCATAGGGGTTGAACGCTCATAATCTGAAGTTCATTGAAGTCCATAATCCATTTATGTTGACTAGTAAACTAGTCGATTGCTAAGGAATTTTATCATTTTAGAAGAGAAACTATTATAAACAGTACTTTTTGTAACACTGTTTCGACAAGTGTTCTAAAGGGCTTTTATTGAAGTTATCAGTCCCAATTACTTGAACGGACAGACTTGGGCTCTTTCTTTTAAGTCTGAAAATCGTTCCAACTAGAAAATTATTCGATTTATCTTTTAAGTGTTCAACTTTGGTCACCCCTTTGCCAGGAACCAATCGGGGCAAAAACTTTGGCGGTCATTTTATCCTTATCATTGAATTGTGCCAAATGTTTTGCTCAACAAATTGTATTTCACTTGTCATTTGGCTGTCGAAACAGAAGGGGGTAACTCTATTGTTTTCCACCTAAGTGTCTTGAACCACTCTGCTTGCCAGTATGACGTCACGTAGTAACGAGCAAGAGGCTCGGGTCGCTTGTGCAAATTAGCAAGGGATACGACAGTTATGTGGACGAGCGAGGTCTAGGAAAAGCTAAGAAGCAAGCAAATATCGCTATATGTCGCTTATTTGATCGAATGTGTGTGAGCTTTGGTGCATGCTATAATCTGCTTGTGTAAACAATTTTGATATTTGTGTCCGTGATTGTATAATTTTGTTAATTTGTTTGCTGGCCGTGTTGCGGGATCGCCATCTATTTCACGGGACCGACAAGGTCATCAAAACTTTTTTTTTCTCTAAAATAGGCAAGGTTTAGTCTCCAGAATAGGAGGTTCCATTCACAGATCACACATGTCTATATCTCATCTAGATTCTTTTGCTAATTAAACGGGCCTAACTTCATATCATTCCTTTCGAGTGTGTGCCTCTGTTGATCTCCTAAGTCTCCACAAATTCAGTAAAGCTAGTTCGATCGATCATCTACATCGAGGTCGGCCCGTTGTACCCGAAATAATGCGAAATAGCTTTGAAATACGCGCTTAAGCTAATTTTCCTCAAACGTATATTTGAATTCATGATAGATACAGCTCCACCAGCTTCAAACCGCGTCTATGGCAGAGAAAAATTGTTTGGATATGACAAAATTAATTTTTCAGATCATGTGTGTCATTGTGGTGCAGAGGTCAGGAGTTACTTGCTCCAGCAGATAAACCGGGTTCGACTCCCGGCGACGCTGTTTTCTGTTTCTTTGTACTTTTTTTTCTGTTTGGTCTCTTTTTTAAACACTATTTTTCCTTTTGGCCTTTTTTTCTTTATTCTTACTGCTGAACCCACTGGTCATGCACTTGGATCAATATATATTTTAAGCTCAAGTCCGGAGTTTTATTTTGGAAAAGGGATTTCAAAAGCTCTTGATCTGCATACTGGCCAAGCTTACGACCAGAAAAAAACCACAAGCTCTCAAGACATGTCTCTCGTCTGAAACAGCTGAATTTTTTTCAATGTTAGTTGACATCGTGACAAACAACACACAGTACACCACAAAGTGTACTAATTTACACCCAACACCTACCAGTGGTGACCCACTGGCGAAAGTTAATATCCTTTTGTACATCGTGTTAATCATCAGTCTTATTACCCTTAAATCTCCACTGGGTTTGCCCCCCAAAAATAATTCAACGAAACCTTTTATTGGGTTTCGGGCTTTAATTGCAGAATTACAGGTTTATGCCCAATACAGTATTAAAATGCGGTAAAGCAACAAGATTCAATGCTCACAGTCTCTCACAAATACCTGTCATTTAGCTTCCTCTTTCAACGCTACAGGTAAGCGAACTTTGAGAGGAATGGTATGGGGTTCCACTAGCTCCGAAGAACTGAAAATACGCACAATGTAAAGTATAATACATCCTTTGATGAACCTCCTATTGCTGTGTCTAAACTCCTCAATCTTGCTGTTCACTGGCCCTCAAAAGTGTGACCGGTCGGTATGATTGCTCGTAAAATTTGCTCGACATTTTGAAAGTCACTGACGCGAGACGTGACGTCATACTAGCAGGCAGACTGTATCACAGATTTTCCTTTGAGACACCTCCCCCACCCCCTCCCCTCTGCTTCTGCCCAAATAGTAACTACTTCTTTGATGAAACATTTTGTTTGAGAAAACGGCTAATGTACTTTGTTTATATATCAGGGGCCCCCTTCAATGACCAAATGTTTTAGAAGCCTGTTTGGTTAATTTTGAGCTGCCCTAAGAATGACTGATTTATCTGTTAGGATGTCTCATAGGGAACTTTGGCCTTTTTTAACTTTTCAACAGAAAATTCTAGTAGAAAATTCTAGAGTGGTATTCCTTCGTTTTTTTTTTTAAATGAAGGAAGTGAACAAAGCTGATTTCCTTTGTTTATACCTTATACCTCTAATCTGGTACATACTGGCTGTAAGTACATGTCATCTTACAATAGCACTAGCCATGATTACAACTTTCAAGAGCGCCGCACTACCTTCAAATTTCTTCGAAACTTCTTCGTTGCGCGTGTCTCGCGTTCTTCACTCGCTTCGCGCTTGCCTTCCTTCACCCGAAAAACGCGAACAAATAAAGCCTGTACTTTCTCCGGTTAATCTTGAGGCGTTGAATTTTATTTTATCTGTTTCGTGTAAGGGATTAAAAGAGTCTAGAAGAGAACCTATAGACATGTCAAATATCCCACCAGTGGATAGTCAGCACGCTGCTGCCACGCCCCTACTCCTCGACGAAGATCCAGATGACGAGGAGGAAAGCTTTTCTACTCAACAACTGTTTAAATTTGCTTGGCAAATAGCAAAGGGAATGGTAGGTATTATTCCTTTCGATTAGATTACAACGATCCAGCTATTGACTATCGCACCAGAGAATGCTAGCGTACTTCGACCTATGTGAGGTAATCTGGATTCCTGAATCCGAGAAATTTTTGTTTGTGTTATCCGGAATCCTGGGCGTTGGAATCCGTAAGAAGGTCAAGGAATCCGGAATCCCGCTGACGATTGGAATCAAGGGCCCGGTTCCTGAAAGGTCAATCAGAGCTAATCCAGGATGAAAATTTTGTTCACTTAATTTTTGTATTCAGTACCTAATGATCCTGTGTATTGCGAAGAGGAACATTTTGTGTTATCATTACTGTATCTCGAAGTAAGGGCTCAACAGTATTTTTTAAGCTCGAATTGCGTGTCCTTAGCTAGAAAAGAAAATCTTGCTCAAAAATTGTATTGATCCTGGGTTAAACATAACCATGTTTCGAGGAACTGGGCCGTGATGAGCATGATCATGAGCTCTTCCTTCTCTTAATTTTTTGTCATGATCCAGTGGTAATGGTTTAATTCTCTTTCTCAATTTCTGTAATTAGAATCATCTCGCCGAAAAAAGTCTTGTTCATAGAGACCTTGCAGCTCGCAATATCCTCGTTGGATATGACAATCGAGTGAAAGTGTCTGATTTTGGGTTGATGCGACAAATCTATCAAGATGTGAATAACTCAGAAAAATCCAAGAAACTTCCTGTTAAATGGATGGCTCCAGAATCACTTTACAATGGCACTTTTACCATCAAGAGCGACGTGTGAGCAAAAATTTTCAATTAAAACATAGGTGACATAGAATGCATTAGCTTAGATAGCCTTTTAGTAATATTACAGGGAGCTCAGGCTCATAACAGCCTCCTGATGAAACCAAATTAAAATGATTATTTTAATTATGGGAGTTTATTGTAAGTTCGATTAAACGGTTAAATGTATTTAAACAGTCTCATTGAAGTGTACGATAGACTCACAAAGAAGTGTCTCTTGTTGTGTTGTTTTCTTGTTACCGTTTCCTGCCCTAAGAAAGTTAGGAAAGTGTATGGAAACAACACAGAGAACCTTTTCTTTTATAGATATCCGTGAAACCATGGATTGACCATTTTCATTCTTGGTCTTAACTTACCTGAGTGATCGTGGTTAACCATGTTAATTCATGCATGTTTTTCATTCAATCCTGCTTCCAATTCATGACCACGTTTGGCCATGTTAAAACATGACTTTTTAGCGATGGTGTTCTGTCGTAATTTGTAATAATTTTTGTAATTTTTAATAGCTGTCGTAATTTGTAGTACCACCTGTCCCAAGGTGTAAGAACTTTGTCCTAATTTGTAACAACACTTTGTCGTAATTTTTTATTTTTAGCAAAGCTAAACGTAATTTGTGATAACTTTTTCGCGATTTGAAATAATAAGCATTTTTGATACTTTTAAATACAAAGGCTTGTTTTTCGAGTGGTTTATGATCGCCAAGGAAACAGTACAAGGTTGATAAAAAAAACCCGCTCTTCTTTTAGGAACCTGTTAACTTTTTGAAATAAAAATTTTGCATTAAAAAACGAATAAGGGTAATCTGAGCAAGCGATCTCAGACTCCAATCCCTGCTTATATCAGAGAGCAGTTTGACCATGGTTGACCATAGCAGTGCAATTTAACGTTCATGGTTGACCATGGTCAAATAATGGTTATATGAATGCCACACCAACGGTAGACTATGGGTGGAAACCGTGTTTAGCCATGGTAAAACCATGGTTGAACATGGTCTAAACATGGTTCTTTCGCCGGGGTAAAAAATGAAATATGTACACTTTAATGACTGTTTATGTGTGTTAAATCGTTTTATTGAACTTAATGACGATAAATATTAATTCCCATACAAATCCTTAAAATTTGGCTACAAAGTGGCTGTTGTGAGCCTCAGACGCTCTGTGGTGATACGTTCTTATCCCCAAGGGCCACATGATGTGTGTGCAACTTTTTTCTAAGTTATCAAACATCAAAAAATTTTATTAACACTGAATACTGTGCTTGAAACAAGTATTTTACCATTATATCTATGAGCTGATTTATCATTAACAGCCTTTGTTGTTTTCTCTCATAGCTGGTCTTACGGTGTCCTCTTGTGGGAAATGGCAACATTAGGTAATGAATATTTCAGTATCTATTTACTCATTACAACTGCTTTCTGTGAATTAGCCTGCGTGTCGACAGGCGTTCGATAGGGAAAGGAAAAGGGGAATAATTTTCTCGTTCCAAATTCTCCGTTAACTTACTTTTCATCTTTTTATGAATAACTGTTTTTGTTTTTCTTCTGTGAAATTTAGGAGGAGTGCCATATCCCACACTGACCAACACAGAGCTGTATCGGCTGCTCACCTCCGGTTATCGTATGGAGAAGCCTGACATGTGCTCCGATGAAGTGTAAGTTAATATGGTGTTTCAATGATCCGAACATTATCTTGCAGAGAATTATACCCTTGGCCTCTTAAGACTAAATTCTTTTCCACCCCAGAGCGCTCCTCTTTTGCGCATGACTACAGGCGACAAGATAAGATCCCAACTCTCTGGTACGAGATTGCCGCTAAATTTTACTTTAAAAGGGTTTAGTATGATATTGCCCTTTGAATACCACCAGCAAATTAAAAAATCAAATTTTCCTGGTACAATCAAAGGGTTCCTGACTCAAAAATGATCGATGTACATGTGCATGGAAGACTCCGTGAGCGGATAAATTGAAGGTCTTGAAGCATTCTTGTGGAACAGGAGCCCGAGTGCGCATGCGCAAAGCCCGTACTAGGCCTCTCACGCTAGACGTTTTAACAGAGATACACTTAAGCGTACTCTTTCCCTCGAAAGAAGATAAAGCTCGGAAGTCAAGTTTTTTGAAGTTTCACGCACCGAGGGCGTCCGCCTCTCCCGTAGCCTCCCAAACAGGCGTTCTAAGGGCTTCGTCACGCGTGACGGGGCCTTAAGAACGTCTGCATGGGAGGTTACACTGCGTGCTTGGCCATTTTTTATCATTGGAGCTGTGGTGTCGATTGAAGTTGTTGAATCACTCTTACATGAACCAGATAAAGATAAGGATAACCAAACACAAGACGTGAATTGACAAAGTAATTGCAATCAGCTTTTAACCACCCACTTTACTGCGCTTTTCACAAACATGCGAACTCTAAAGTTCAAAAGCCGCCTTCACAATTGCGTTTTTCGCTGCCGTCAATCATAATTACGATCACAAGCAACGAACCTTGGAACACAGAAACACACACAACAGATCGAAATCCACCAATCACAAATCACAAACCATGGCCTTATGAACCCGTTAAAGTAAAGTTTTGCTTCCTAAGAGGTCCGTTAAGATGATTGACGGCAGCGAAAAACGCAATCGTCAGGTGGCTTTTGAACTTCAGAATTCGCATGTTTGTGAAAAGCGCAGTAAAGTGTTGAATGCAATGCAACGTCAGTTTAAGTTCTTTTTGGCCTTTAAAATGATGAAAAACTTGGCAAAAGTGTTAGACTGGAAGATAACACTCTAGTTTAAACTTTGTAGTTGCTATCTCTGACCATTTTATATAAGGCACACTGTTTTTTCTCTCAATTCCTTCAGTTAGCGCAGAGTGGGCCGTTATTAAGTATTTTCTAAAAATAATGCCCTAATGGGAGGCTTTTATATTTGAAAGAATTATTGGTCTGAATTAATTGTCTACAACAGATATCATTTGATGACAGAATGTTGGAAGGAAGACCCATGTTTTCGTCCCAGTTTCTTCCAGCTAATAGAAAAACTGGAGGTGATCATGCAGAGAGATGCACCATATTTGGATGTAAACAAGCACAATGAAGCCCATACGTACTATAACGTACCTCCTGGAGTGAGTGCTGATAACGAGCGCTGCTTAGGGCCGACGGTTTCCCAATAACCTATACATCTTATGAAAGGTGGGGGACAGGGAAGTGCGACCCCCGGGGGGTACTCCTGAGCATTCTTGGTGGGGGTGTGCCGCCCGGTTCTCCGAATCCTGACCCTATTTCCGACCAAAAAATGTCATTTTTCACATCATTTTCCACACCCGTTTTCAGACCTGGAGGTGGTCACAAAACGCAACATGCGTGTTAACATTGACAGGAATTATGTCATCATTACTGAGATTAGAACGCTAGCAAAAGGATTTCTTTCTTATTCATTTATAATTGAAACGACGAACACATTCATACATTACCGTAGTTACCTTGTGAACCATACCCGATTCCAGACCAAAATGGGCAAAATCTATATCCGTTCTCAGGCCAAAACGGCGCCACAACCATACCCTTCGGGGCGGCACATACCTATATGGTGGCCTATATAAGGGAGTACCCGGCTCGCGCTCCAAACCTACCGCTTCACGTTCCTTGTATTCCCGATTCCCCTCTTTTTTCGGGGTCTTCCTGCAGGTACCGTCATCACAAAAAACCAAATAATAGAGTTCTCCTGGGGCTTAATTGTTTGGTTGTATTGTTTCTTTTGTTGTCCGTAATGACTGTGCCTTGTTGCGTAGCTTTGCGTACAGAAGGAACAACTTTTTCTCCGACATTTTTAGCAGTGTTTGGTAATTTCCCCCTATTATTCCCGCTTCCCACCCCACTCCCTGTCCTCCCCAACTCAACTCATCAACGGAGATCATCGATATTTTTGCAGGACGGTCCCCATCTAATGACTTCTGGATTAAGTTTAACACAGTAAAAATCGAATTAGTAAGCAAATTATGAGCTGAGGGAAAGTTAACTTAACATACTAAACACTCACTGTAAAAATAAGAAAAATTGACAATTAGTTCATGCGTCAGCGTGCGTATGTCGAGATATTGAGCACGCGGGAAGTTTGGAGAGCATGAAAGAGGCGTAAGAGTTGCACGAAGCGCGGCCGAGTGCAACTCTAGCCTCTTGAGTGCTCCCCAAACTTCCCAAGTGCTCAATATCTCGACATACGCACAGCTGCAGCATGAACTAGTTGTTTTATAACATTATCAAAGCGATCAATGCATCAGTTAACTTAAAATTTTATTATTGTAGGGCGCGCTCAAACAAAGCAGTACGCGTCAATGTTTACGTGAGTATATTTTTTTCCTCACAGTTAAGCTTATGTTTTTATCCTGAAACTGAGAGAAAGTGTACTCTAAAATGATTGTAAAATACATATTTAGGTGCCGGAAAACTATTAATTCACCGAAAAATTGTTATTGAGAGAAAAAAACTTTGCAAAGAATGATCTCACGCCATAGCCCGCACAGCTCGCGGAGATGTCAACAACAACAACAACAAAAACAACAACACTCACCTCTTTTCCTTACTTTCGGTTAACAAATTCAAACGTTTCCTCTTAAATTTCCTTATAAAACACATGGTAAACGCTTTCTCGTGTACTGCCGAGTTATGGATGCACTCAGGAGACTCAGGATTGCTAAGTTATTGACGTCATCAGCGTGCTCAATAGGAATATGAAGCACGCTCGCGCTATTGAATTTGATTAGGGGAATTCTCTAGCTATGTTATAAAATAAATTAAACATGTTGGTGCATTGGTTAACATTGTGCTATGTAATGAAAAAGACTGAAAAAATAAAGTATGTCGATTGTTTAAGTTGATGAATTGTATGGCTCCTGACTTTAAAGATTAGTTCAGGCCTTGCGTGGCCTGTTCACAGACCCTCTATTTTTCTTTTAAGACATCAACTTGTGTGCATATGAAAACAAAATTCTAGGGGATTTGTTGATTGCCAGCGTAAGGGAGTGGGGGTGGGGAAATAATGGGAACATTTTTTTTTTCGCGCTTCAAGCTCGTTCTTATGCTACGCCATCGCTCTCTCACACTGGTTTTGTTTTCAAAATCGGTTAAAAGAATAAAAGAGAGAAGGAAAGAAACAAAAGTTTCTCGTAAAGCATCGTAAGAGTTGGCAACGGTTGTTATATATAAAACAGAGAAAGGATTTTCTAGGCACACGACCAGTTGACTTGTTTCCAATGGTTGTTCCAATGAAAACAGTCGTTTGGTGCAAGCCAGTATAATGTTAGACTTAAAAAAGGTACGTGTTTTTAGTATTTACTTGTTACATTTGAGTGGTACTAGGATTTAGCGGGTGTGAGAAGAAAATCCAAGTTTAGCATGGTAATGCCGAATTGACCACTACAGAAAATAGCATAACATACTCTTTGTTGGTCAATCCAAAATTTTGCATAAGCATTGTCTTCAGGCTCTCGGGAGTTAAATGACACCAAGAGAAACTGAAAACAATGCTTATGCAAAAGTTTGGAATGACCAATAAAGCATGTTATGGCATTTTCTGTAGAGGTCAATTAAGAAAACGGAGGAGTGGATTCTCTTCGATGTTGCGTAACTTATGGTCCCTCTAAGTATTTTAAGCGTGGTAAAAGTGTTACAAGATAAATTTTAAGAGAAGCGAGGGTTGAAATAGAATACTAGTCCAATTCTGTCATGTTAGGTAGGACAAATATTCACTTACCGTAAATCCTCTATTAAGCCCCCCCCGGGGGGCTTATCTACTTCAAGCCCATTTCAGGTGGACGTGGTGATGGGTGGGGGGGGCTTAATGGCGACGGGGGCTTATTTAATTTAGAAACAACGATGGTATCAGTTCTCCATAAAAAAATGCAACCATGGACAAAAGTCTTGAGACACTTCTGCGTTTCTGGGGCGTTTTCCAATTCACACAGGTCCAACCCCTCCCCTCACCCCACAAACAATGTTGGACGCGTGTATCCAGAATTTTCCCGAGTTTCAACTTTGTATAGGGTGGGGGGAGGGAGAACTGCAAGAAAATTTCGAAAAGGATGCACTGTTTTAAGAGGGAACCGAGAAATGACAGGAAAATATGAATATTGCAGTACTGTCCCAAGGACTTTTGTCCAGGATTGTAAAATACAAAGTGGCAAAGCTCAAGTACAAGACGTTTTAGGTCATGCAGCCGAGGGTTAGAATGAAATCCGAGCTTCTAGTAGGTAAGTAAACGATCCCTGATCATTCTACACGAAGTTTTAAAGTCGTGGCTGATTTATACAGAGTATCATTAACTAGTGAAGAATAAACAGGGGAGGAGGGAGGAGGGTCATAAATTACCTTTATGGGTTGCTCGCGGACAGTTGTGGCACTGCTGTTTGAAAAACTTTGTTCACCTCAGGCCGGACAAGTATATTCTTTATCAAAGAATGCATTATGCAATAATTTTACAACCAGAGGATCTGCCAATACCACTCGCCCTCCGTGAATTCCAACGAATGCGATATCAGCTGATGCCAGGGTGACCTGTGTAATTATTTTTTCAAGCTCCAGGAATGAAAGGGTTAGGATTTCAATGGTTGAAGAATATGAAAGGGGAGGGAAATCTGTCACTGCGGTTTGTGAAGAGACTTCAGGGGAGGGTTAACACTT